GAATAACTGATACAATTGAAAAAACATTAGAAGAAATAAAGTGTGCTCAGCAATATTCCTTGATGTAGCACAAGCTTTCGATAAAGTTTGGCCTGCAGGATTGAACTATAAACTTAAAATGTTTCTTCCAACACAATTCTCGAAAATTCTGAAATCATATATATCAGAACGCTATTTCAGAATCAAACAAGAGGACGCTTTTTCTGCCCTAAAAAAAATCTAAGCGGGAGTTCCGCAAGGTAGTGTATTGGGACCAGTTCTTTATCTCTTATATACTAGTGACCTACCAAAATTTAACGAAAATATTGTTGCTACATTTGCTGATGATACTGCAATTTTAGCCGTAGGCGACAATAATATTGAGTCAACAGAAAAATTACAAAAAGCCATTGCAGAAGTACAACGCTGGACAACTACTTGGCGCATTAAGCTAAATGAAACCAAATCAGTGCATATAGATTTCACCAATAAACGTATACAGCACAAACCAATATATATGAACCAAAAAATAGTTCCGTATGAGAATACAGCAAAATATCTTGGTATGACCCTTGATACTAAACTCAGGTGGAAATCACATGTCAAAAAAAAACAAGAAGAATTAAAACTTAAGTACAGAAAAATGTACTGGCTATTAGGCAGATATTCTGCCTTGTCAATATACAACAAGCTACTCTTGTATCAACAAGTCCTTAAACCGATCTGGACTTATGGTATTCAACTCTGGGGTTGTACCAGTCAAAGCAACAGATTAATTATCCAAAGATTTCAAAACAAATTACTTCGTGGTATTGTTAATGCACCCTGGTACATTCATAATGACAACTTGCATATGGATCTGAATGTAGAAACTGTTGATACCGTCATCAAAAAGTATGCTCAAAGTCATGCACAACGACTTCAACAACATATCAACATTGAGGCTCTTCAGCTCCCTTATAATGATGGCCTTACCAGAAGATTAAAGCGAGTAAAACCTTTCGAACTTGTGTAAAAAAAAAAAAAAAAAATTAACTATAAAATAAAATAATCATTGTTCAGGTCTCACTAAAATAGTGACTATAATACATACATATGTATAAGTTTAACATCTGAAATGAATATCATAGGATAAGCATTTTGTAATTTTAAAACCGTATAAATTTAAGTCAGAAACAAATAGTTTATTAGTATTAATTTACTAGATTGCTATAAAATAAATTCCCCAAAGGGGTGTTTTTACAAAATAAAAAAAAAATATAAAAAAAAACCAGATTAGTGGTAACAACAACTCCCAAAAACCAAAATCACGAAAATTGCCAAAAATCATAATTAAAAACTCAAACGTTATACAGCAAAAATCAAAGAAGAGTACTACTACCCGCAGCAGTTGTCTCGATCGAACATCGAGGAGAACTGTTTAAGCTTAGGGTCGATGGCCATAAAGGTACTTATGCAAATGTTTGATGCACTTCACCAATGCCAGTAATTACCTCCGAGTTACACAATTATTTCTATCTGGCTTGCTTATTGTCTGGCTGTAATATGCAACTACTTTCTCATGCCTAGCAATGGTTTATAATAAAAGCTGATCCTGAGACCGGGTGTGCTAACATTGGCGCAGTACTTAACCGTTTCTTCAGAGTTTGGAAAGCCACTTCCTTTTCTTTATTCCAATCAAAACTCTGTTATTTTTTGTGAGTTCATGGAGGCTACTAGCTACGCTGGCAAAATTTGGAACGAATCCTCAAAAATAAGTACAAAGTCCAAAGAAACTCCGTAATTCATGTAAGTTTTTAGGAGTGGGCCAGTCTTTTACTGCCTCTATCTTTTCTTTAGCTGTGAAAATGCGCTCCGTTGTCACTTTATGTCGTAAGTACCTTACTTCCTTTTTGAAAAGGGAACACTTCCTCGGGCTCAGCTTTAGACCAGCGCTAGCTATCTGTTGGAAAATCTCTTCCAAGTTCTTAAGGTGTTCATCGAAGTTTTTTCCCAACACGATGATATCGTTTGGTATACCAAACAGGTCTTCCAGTGCAATTCTTTTTATACCGGCTCCATAAGTGTCTCAAAAATAGCTGGAACATTACATAATTCAAAGGGCATTACGATAAATTGCCAACGCTGAAAGCCGTCTTTTCTTTGTCTTCTTCGTTTACCTCCACTTGCCTGTAACTACTTTTCAAATCAACAACAGACACCATTTATCAGACCCAGTAACTATCTTTCTTCGTTACATCATTCAACCTTCTATAGTTCACACAAAGTCTCATGTTGCCATCTTTCTTCTTCACAAGTACTATATGTGAACTCCATGGACTCGCTGGTAGTTCGTTTACTCCGCTTTCGCTCATTTCACGTATGGTCTGACTTACAACTTCACGTTTTGCTAATGGAACGCTTCGAGGAGCCTGGCGGATTGGTCTTGCATCACCTGTGTTAATAAAATGTTTCACAACTTTCGTTTTTCCTGGAATCGTCTTTATCAAATATAGATGAGTACCTCAGAAGAAGTTGTTTAGCCTTATTTTGATGGTTTCTCTCTAGTTCCTCGATCCTCGATATCGCTCGAGATGCCCTAATATAGTTCCTTTGGAGAGTTTGATTGGTAACTAGCACACATTAAGTACTCTTACTGGAACACGTTTAATTTGTCTTGTCATAGCCAGGTTTTTGCCTATAAGTAAGTTTGGTTTAGATTCCTTTGTGACCTCAATAATCCACAACTTGTTTGGCCCATAGTCTTCATCTATTTCTTCCCAAATAACTGCTTCTGATTTTGATGGAATCTGCTGGCTCTCTGTTCGGCTGGCTCGCTTTAGTTTAACGATTGGTTGAATTTGACATTGCTTGATCTTCCTCAGCTTTGCGTTTGCGTCCAACTGAATTGGACTGGTTACAGTTGTGTGCAATATTACCACACCATCATTTTTCATATGCATTTCTGTAGATTTTTCTAGTATTTTCTGCAATTTTCCTTTAGCTTTTTCAAGTAATTGGTTCACTCAGATGTGATATTCTATTTCTACTTGATGAGCTTTGAATGTTCGATTGCTACGCAGAGATGCAGTTTCACGTGTCAAAGCATACGAAACGGTTTCCGAAAAATTCAGTTTTAGACATGTTAACGCAGGGAAATGTGTAGTCTCGCATTGTCTCGCATTCCAGTAACGAAGGTATGAATTTTCGTGTCTTCGATGAATTCCACGGATTCATGTGCATAAGCTAAGTGAGCGAACCTCCCAATCTCTGCAGAGACTCATTGGCTCTCTGGGGCGGATTTTACAACTCGATTTGGAAGATCTGCTTCCTGTGCCTACTACCATACCATCTTTCTAATGCACCCATTAACGTTTCATAACTACTCGACTCGAAGTTTGGAAGTTTTGCCGTCTTTTCGAATTGAAGGTCAAAAAGATGGAACGGAACTGCGTTATCACAGGATGGAGGTTTTACCGTGTCAGAAGCTGACAACAAAGCTGGCCGATTTAATTGTAGCTCGCTGAGACGATCTTTCAATTCATCCACTTCAGTTTTAATTGTATCCCGCTCTTCCGAAATCTGCGAGGACACTTCTGGTATTTTTAAGATCACTTTCGATTACCGTGTATCCTGCCCTTTCAACTGTGAGGACACCTGTGCTGAAATACGTACATCTTGCGCTGCGGATTGCTCTTCCTTCTGCGTTAACAATCACGTTTTTAACTGCGACATTTGTAGGGTCATACGTGCTTCCTGCTCTTTAAATGATGTCGATATTTGCGTTGACATTTGTGTTAACGACTCCTTTGACATCTGGGACATTTGCGCTGACATCTGCGACATTGCAGTCAAAATCGTATGATGAGCACGTCTCATCCTTTTCTTTTATCTTCATGGTCTCTTCCTCTAATTTCAATTGAAAAACATATTCTTCAACATCAATGTTTTCCGCCTCCATGCGCTCTCGCAACCGTGATTGTAATTCAGTTTTTACTCCATTTGTCGCCAAACCACGTTGCTTCCACTTCTTTTTTAATTGTGGAATCTTTAAATCGTTAAACTTGGCCATTTTAAAATAATTATATCCTTGGAAGTTTATTTGGCAATTCCACTTCTGACACCAATTGTAACGGATTTCTCGTTAAATTATTTCCTTGTAACTCCTACTTGAGTTCGATCACTGGATTGTTAAATAAAAGTCGCAATGTAATGGTTATACACTTATCTTCATATCTAATTCCAACAATTTAACACTTATTACTCGTTATTCGAGTTTACAACTTAATGCTTATAGCTCAATTGTACTTTACACGGCCATACGCTAATTAGCACTGTACTTGCTACACGGTCCGGCAACCCTTATATATTGTAATATATTTGTTCGCATCTACGAAGTTTGCTATCGAGTTGGTTCTAGCAGTTTGTCGTCGATTCTGATTTGTTTTGGCGTTCGTGGTCGTCACAATATTATATTTTAAAAATAAATGCATGCAAGTTTGTTCACAATTATAAAAGTTGGGGGCTACAGTATTTAAAATGCTACTAAACATAGGCTGCTTTCGTAAACGCAATATGCAAACCATACGTGCAATGCACAATATTCGTAAACGCCATTGCATTAATTCGGCATATTTTAGTATAAAATTCATGAATGCCTGACAACCGTATTTCAAGCGCACAAGCTGTCAAAATTTGTATGCATTGCATTCAAAATGGAATGTTCGCCGATGAAGTAAATAATTTATATAAAAAGATATTTTAAAATTTAATTGTTATTTTTATTTATTTTTTTTTTATTTCATCTTCATTTTGTTTATTATTACTAATTTATATTATTATTAGGACAATGCACAGGGTATTCATAATCGTCAATTAAATGCATTGCATATTTTGGCATAGCAGGGTTGTAGTGCATAAATAATTTGCATGGCGTGGGCATATGTTTTAAAAATGCTTTGCATATTGCGTTTACGAAAACAGCCATAGATATGTTATCTACGGTGCTTACCATGGCTTTCATGTTAACAAAAATTAAGAAATTTAAATCTCTCAAATGTTTTATTGGATAATTTGACAGTTGGTAAATCTTGAAACTTCATACCTATTTATGAGACGACGTTGAATATAACCGATTTCACCAGTTTTTACAGCAGTATTGATAAGGCCTTCACGACCACCCATAGCGTCAAAGTAGAACTCCTAAGGTGTTAAGTCGGCAAGATATAAATTCTCCACGAAGTCACGAGACTCAGGACCGTAATCATCTTTAATTAAATGCGGTAATGTACGCATAAGGAAACCTGGTGACCCACACAAGCCTGTGAATTAGTTATATTAATAATTTTTTATATAGTCATCAGGCCAACATTATTATCCGGATTCGAAAGAATCACTTTTGTGATTCAAACCAAGTTAATGTCATCATTTTGAACGTTCAAAGGTCGGGGAAGTAATCATCATTTCTCTGATTATCACTATTTTCGAAACTAAAAAGATAAAAAAGAAAGCAATAAAAATGCTTTGTAATACATACTATTATTTATATTACGTAGGTACATAAAGCCGCATTCAAAAGTTTACATTGGTAACATTGGTAGTAAGGAAAGCTTTAACAAATATGTTAAATTAAGTAAAAGCCTAAGTAAAAAGGCATTACCTTTTTGTTTGAAGATATTTAAAAAAATTTTATTTGTACAGCCACGCACATCAGAATATCTATCTGCAATTATATTTCTAGAGAATTGATAGAAACAACACAAATTCAATTAATTACGTTCTTTATAAATTCCTTTTGATGCTAAAAAATATTATAAAATAATATTATATACGTGCGTATTTAAAAACCAAATGACACAAAGCGCTTACCTGAGAAATGTGTTCCAAATAATGCCGGCCAATGTTGATTAAAAATGATACAGCTTTATGTGGGTCTCTTTCTTACGCATTCAATGTTGCTACTCTTACAACAGAATTTTCTATTTAAAAACTGTTAGTTTTAAATATGTAAAGGTGTAAACGTGAAATTTTACAATAGTGGTAGTGAATTGGTTACCTCCGTCTTGTAGAGTACCATACTAGACGAAAACCCAAAAATTCGTCTAGATCCACTTGATATGTCTTTGGCCTAAATTTTCCGATCTCTTGAAATATATTCAGGAATGCCTATTACCTTATCTAGTTATTTTAATATAGATATTAAGAAAGAAACTTGAAAAAAGTATTTAATTTTGAAATTAAAAATTTTAGAGATGAAATGATATGTTGTGTAACCACTACGATCTCTGCATTTTTTACTAAGTACATTGAAAATTTAGACTAGTATACTTATTTTAAACATAGAATATTGGCTTCATTTATTAACTCTATCAAGGCGATGATGGACTTAGTGATGGAATAATTGAAATTCAAAAGAATTAAATTATTTTAATAAATATTATTCTTCGTTTTTAGCATGCAAATATCATCTGAATGATTGTATTTATATTTGTATTCTATACCTTAACACCCAACTGAAATAAAAATGTATACGTGGATATCTACTAAGGGTGTTTTTTTAGATTTATGGTTTTCAAGAAGATATAAAACGCATATTCCCTGAAATGTTTAACCAAGATATCATCATAACATCTACAACATAAGCTAAATCAATCAGATGTAAGTAAAAAGTTGTAAAATCTGATAATAATTATGCTCAAGAAAAATTGTGTTCAAAACCTTGCTGCTATTTTTATTACTATTACTACTACATTGACGTAGGCATCGCTTACGCGATCAAAGCTAAATCAACAATAGCGCGCAGTTCGTTTCTTCTTCTCGCAGTCTGGCGCCAATTGGAAATACCTTTCTGTCTGATCGTTCGAACGGAGTGGAAGTCTTCCCTTCCCCCTGCTTCCACCAGCCGGTATTGCATCGAACACCTGAGCTGAAGGGCTTTCATCCATTCATACATCATGGCATAACCAGAGTAGCAGCTGTATTTTGAATCGCTGAACAATATCAATGCCGTCGTATAACTCTCACAGTTCATCGTTCCATTGTCTGCAGTATTCGCCGTTGCCAATGTTTAAAAGACAATAAATCCGCAAAACCTTTCTCTCGAAATCTATCTATTGGAAAGGCTAGTGTCTTCTCATAGGATGTCGTCATCGATCACGCTTCTGCACCATATAGCAGGATAAGATTAATGAGCGACTTTTAGAGTTTGGTTTTGGAGAGAGGACTTTTCTTTTCAATTGCCTACTGGATTTGTTGATGCTGGTTTCAAGATAGACGAAATGTTCTACAAATTTAAAGCACTGACTGTTTGTTGGACGGTAAAAGGTATTTCCTCTTGTCCTCGTTGACCACCAGACCCATTTGCTTCGCTTCTTTGTCTAGTAACGGGAAAGTAGAACTAACGGAGCGGTTGTTAAGGCCAATAAAAACAATATCATTGACATACGGAAACAATTGTTAACCGTCTACCTTCAGTTTACATCGACATATAAGTTATGCAAGGATACCAAATTCAGACATAGCGGCATAGCTCGTTTTCATGCTGTCGAAAGCAGCTTTAAAATCAATGAAAAGGTGATGAGTATCGATTCTTTTCTCTCCAGTATTTATCAAGAAGTTTCACATGGTGGATTTACCATTCTAAAGCCAATCGGTTCGCTGTAGGTGGGCTTTCATCTTCCCCTCAATAGGATCTTATATGCGTTAGTGAAGAGGCTTATCCCACGATAATGACGCAGAGACTATGGGGTCCCCGGGTATCATATTCTGCAAAGAAGCTAATTCATGCACCTTGACAGTTCTGCGCCGCTATATTTAGGCTATCTCCTCCCGTCGCTTTGTTATTTTTGAAGCGGGCAATTGCTATTCGTACTTCATCTAGGTGGGGTATTGGAATGTCTATTTCATTCTCTTTAATTGGGGCTTCGGGTTCACTATCTTGGTGTCACACTTTCACTGCCATTAAGTGGGTTAGTACACGTCACTATAAACTCTGAATGCTAAGGGCGTCGGTGACTTCTGTAAGTCGCGGCATTTTTTTTTTTAATTTTGTGCATTACCCTTGTAAGCCAACTTCTCAAGTTCTTCATTTTTTTTCGCTGTTTTTTCGTCTGCAAATGCTTTTCGCTTCCCTCTTTAGCTCTCGGAATCTACCCCACCCCGCACATTTTTTGATCGATCGCAACGTTGCTAGGTAGGCAGTCTGCTTTCTCTCCCCATTCATACATATAAGTTATATTTTTATTATCTTTAAACTGTTCCTTTATTCGGTAGCGACGGTGTTGTCGACTACCACGAACTATTTAGGTAGGGTAGGTAGGTAGAGTGGCTGTCCAATGACGCACCTAGGCCTATAGGAGGCCCATTGTGATACCACCGGGACTAATGTTCCCTCACTCTATCGTCTCCTCCCTGAACCAACCTGTGCTCCTGATGAAGTTCATCAGTACAAATAATTTTATATTAGCAACTTCTGATACGTCGTCAAGGAATCCACGACCGATAGTTGCGATTCTTTTCCTATATAGAGCTTTACATTCGCATAGAAGATGCTTTACAGTCTCCTCTTCCTCTGCTTCCTGACAGCTTCTACAATAGTCGTTGTATGGTACACCTAGCCTACTTGCATGTCTGCCAATTAGGCAGTGACCTGTTAGTACTCCTATCAGAGTTCTTATATCACTCCTTTTAAATTTTAGTAGTCGGTTTGTGCGATTCACGCTCCATTCCTGCCACGTTAGTCTGCTGGTTGTGCAGGTTATTGATTGTCTCCACCGAGACTCAGCTATATTTATAGCATATTCGCCGATTAGGTGTTTGCAAGTTGCCAGAGGCATAAAGATACTCTCTTTTTCAGGGGTTAGTTGCAAAGTGGTGCCTGTTCTGGCTAGTTCATCTGCTTCGCAGTTACCAGGAATATCGCTATGTCCTGGAACCCATTGCAGGTTTATTGTGAAGTAGGATGTCAGATCCTCTAATAGATCAAGACAATCTTTCACTAGCTTGGATGAAACCATTGGAGACTTGAGTGATTTCAAGGCCGCTTGGCTATCCGTGTATATATATATGCTCCTTGTTGTGAGCACACTTTTTGTCAATACCACTAGGCTTTCTTTAATTGCTGTGATCTCCGCCTGGAAGACACTGCAGTGGTCTGGCAACCGGAAGGCGATTTTGGTGTTTAATGCTGCGCAAAAGACACCACCTCCCACTCTATGATCCAGTTTGGATCCATCCGTGTAGATGCTAATTTCTGTATTCCTGTCCACCTCGCCCCTTTTCCACTTCTCTCTTGTGGGGTAGGCAATATTGTGGACCGAATTTAGCTTCCGTTCTGTTGGATTACGGAAATCCGTGGTTTTGGGTAGAAACGGGAATATACTGAGTATCCTTGAATGCCCCTTGTCGCATGCGACTAGTTGGGAGGATTCCCTCAGTCTAAGAGCTGACTTTGCTGCCACTTGTTTACAGAACAGGTCTGTTGGCAGTAAGTGTAGAATGACGTTAAGAGCCTGACTTGGCGTTGTTCTAAGAGCTCCACTAATGCATATGCTGGCTGCTCTCTGTATGCTTTCCATACGCTTTACCGCGTATTTCTTTTCCATTACTGGCCACCATACCAATATACCGAATGTCATGATTGGTCTGACTACTGCTGTATAGAGCCAATAAGTTACCCGAGGTGTAAGTCCCCATTTGGGGCCCACCATCCTTTTACAGGTGTAGAGTGCTGTGGCTGCCTTCTTCACTCTAGCATCCAAGTTTTGTTTCCATGAGAGCTTCCTGTCTAAGATTAGTCCCAGGTAGCTTGCCTTATCTCCAATTGTTAGTCTGCAACCATTTATTATTGGCGCCGTAACTTCTGGAGTAATATGTTTTCTGGTGAACAATACGATCTCTGTCTTACCAGCATTTAAATTTAATCCGCACGATACTGCCCAGCGATTTATATCGTCCAATATCGTTTGCATAAGGTCTGCGAGAGTATTCGGGAATTTGCCTCTGACCGATACTGCCACATCGTCAGCGTAGGCCACAACATGTACCCCCTTCTTCTCTAGATCCACCAGCAACTTATTCATTGTCAGGACCCAGAGAAGTGGGGATAACACGCCTCCTTGAGGCGTACCTCTTTGGACAGATCTGCACATCGTTGACGCTCCCATCGTTGAAATTATTGACCTGCTCAAGAGCATCTGTTCAATTAATTTCCTGAGAGGTTCAGAGATGTCCAGATCTTTAAGCGCACTCAGTATGGCCCTAGGCTGGATATTATTGAAGGCTCCTTCTATGTCTAAGAAGGCAAATAGAGTGTATTCTTTGGCTTCCAGAGATTTTTCAATCTCCGCCACCACAGAGCTTAGTGCTGTTTCTGTGGATTTTCCTTTAGAATACGCATGCTGTGAACCAGCCAACTTTTCCGGTTTCAGTTTGTTTCTAATATGTAATTCTATAAGTCTTTCCAGGATTTTTAGAAGGAAAGAGGAGAGGCTAATCGGCCTGAAGTCCTTTGGACTTGTATGCGAGCTTTTGCCTGCCTTTGGTATGTATATTACCTTGACTTCCCTCCAAAGTGTAGGGATATAGTTTAATTGCAGCACCCCTTTAAGGATGGCAATTAGCCAATTCATTATGTGATTCTGCGACTGCTGCAATTGAGCCGGGAATATACCGTCTGATCCCGGCGACTTGAAGGGCTTAAAGCTGTTTATTGCCCAGCGTACGTTGCTTTCTGACACTATGTTTATGAGAGTGGGGCTCATTTCTGCTCCACTGTCTTGAGTATATTCTGCAGTATGGCTTTCAGAGCTGCCTGGGAAGTGGGTATCCATTAGTAGCCTCAAGGACTCTTCACTGGATACCGTCCAACTTCGGTCTGGCTTCTGAAGATACCCGATACTATGCACCGTTTGTGCCATTATTTTCCTAAGTCGAGACGCTTCCGCCGTGTTCTCGATATCATTGCAAAACGATTTCCATGAATTTCTTTTTGCTTTCCTAACTTCCTTTTTGTATGACCTAAGGAGGTTGTAATAATAATCCCAGTCTGACTCGTCTTGGGAGTGCTTTGCTAAATTGAACTGCTTTCTGCATTCTTTCTGTAGCTTTTTAAGTTCTAGAGACCACCAGGGGGGCCTTATTCTACCCCTGCTTCGTGTTATTGGACAAGCCACTTCTAGTGCTTGCCGGCACGATTCCGTGAGTTGATTAACGAGGATATCTAGATCCTCCTTGCTATTGGGCTGAAACGGTAGAATCATAGGGATACGTTTCTCTAGCTCTTGCATGTGCACCTGCCAGTTCGTTCTCCTATGATTCCTGAAGTTAATGCCTTTATCGGCCCTTTCCTCTATTGTACATTCGATATATCGGTGATCCGAAAAGGAATGTTCTTCGAGAACCCTCCATTGGGTTACCCTGTCAATTAGTTCTTCCGACACAAGTGTGATATCCAGCACTTCTTGTCGGTTTCTTGTAATAAATGTTGGCGTGCTTCCCTTATTGCACACCAGTAACTTAGTACCTAGTAGGTAGTTAAAGAGACACTCACCTCTCTCGTTTACATCTGTGCTGCCCCAGATTGTGTGATGCGCATTTGAGTCGCATCCAAGTATCGTCATGCACTTGGATGCCTCGCTATCCCGTACCACCTCTTTTACTATCAGAGGTGGCACCAGCTCCTGCTCATACGGCATATAACAAGACACTAGCCGGTAACTGCTTGAGCCCGTTTCCCAGCTTACTGTTGCTGTGTCGTTGTTGCTGTAATTATGTAATATAAAAACATTAAGGTTTTTCTTTGCCATTATGCAGGCTCTGATTTTACCTTCACAGTTAGCCATCAGCAACTTATAGTTCGGCGCCCTCAGTCCGCAAATACGCCCCCCATTAAGCCATGGCTCCTGAATGAGGACGAATTCAGGCTGTTCCATTGCCACGCGGTTAATTAGGGCTGCTGAAGCTAGTTTGCTATGATGGAGATTAATTTGTAGAAGACGCATTAACAATTGTTATATCTGCGTCTTCCTGAGAGTCGCTTAAAAGCTCTTTCTCAGTATACAAGCTTGAGAGTCTGGCCGCAAGCTTAGACTCGGAAGAAGAACACTCACCTTGCTCCATGCTTTCCGCGTCGCTCGAGGACTCCATGGGATCTTCCTCTACTTCGCATATCTCTTTCCCCGATGCCAGATGGTCTGCAGCATCGGCGTCCGACTTGTAAGGCGTTATCCTTACTTTCGTGAACCTGCAGCATCGGCGTCCGACTTGTAAGGCGTTATCCTTACTTTCGTGAACCCGTAATTTATCTCCCCGCCACTCTTCGCCAGCGGTTCGATGGATTCTTTCGTTAAAAGCAGCAGAATCTGCATCGTGGCCCTTTTGGTCTCCACGCCAGATTCCGCTACGCTGTCCTCAAATGTCTTGACATACCTCCACCCTTCAGTGGGTAGGCTCGGGTTGCAGGCTCTTATGAGCTGCATAATTTGGTCCGGCTGAGTTGGTGTAGCCGGAATCCATACCCTTGCCCTTGGTCTGGATGGTATGTCCTTCTTGTCCACTGCTACCAATTTTGCCCCGGGGTATACCTCTCCCACCTTGGCTATAGCAGCTTTGTATAGTGCGACCGATCTTTCGTCGTCGCACGCAATCATTTTGATCTGGCCCTGGTACCAGCCGGCATCTGCGCATGACGGTGGCGGACCCGGATTGCTTAATAGCACTTCCAGCGCCACATTTGTCAGCGCAGCCTGCACCCATTTCCATTGGGCTCTGGGGATTCTTCCTTCGGGATCTCCCTCATCCAGAACGCCAATGACAATTCGGTTCCGGGCCACTTCTGCAAATGATTTTGCGGGCGTTACACCCTTGGTCTTCGGTCTCTTAGCTGACGGCTTTGCCTCTTCAGCTGACCTCTGTCGCTTGGCTGCCTTTACCGGCGGCTCCAACTTAAAGTTGGGTATGACTGCTCTCGCGCAGTCAATTGATGCTTGGAGCTCCTTCGTTAGCTCCTCTTTCGTTGGCGGCTTTAGCTCTACCAACCTTAGTAAGTATGCGGCGCGTCGTCTCTCCGCATATTTTGCCTTTGACGGGTCCTGCATGCTAAATGCAGGCCACTCCCTGGCAGATGCACTTCCGGCGGTAGACCTTTTGGCATCTCCTCTCTCCCCCTGCTTTTCAGCCGTGTTTTGGCCGCAGGGTTTGAGTTTGGCTGCCTCCAGCGCTACCACTTTCTGTGGGCCAGCTTTAGCTTCTGCCCCTTTACTAGTGCTTGCCTTGTCTTCTGGACCAAGCTTCGCTCCTGTCCTCTTCGTGTTAGTTGAGCTCGCTCCAAACGCTGCTCTTTTGTGGGAGCAACTCGCTCCCTCCGGCTTTTTTCTTGGAGATCCGGGCTCTCTCCGATTTTTTGTTTTCGTTTCTTTATTTTCATTTTGGTTCATTTTTGGTCCCACGAGTGTGGGGGAACGTATGTCGACTTGCGCATAGCCCCCGTTGCGCAAGCAAGGCTATCTTATTACGGAGGGCGCCAGGTATCCGTAAGCTCCGTTCGAGACTGGGCTATTTAAGGGCCCCCAGCCAGGTTGATCCTCGGCACGGGTCGCATGACACCTTGATCCAGCCCTTTACCCCCGACCATGGTAAGGCTCCTTATCTGTATGCTGTGCTATTGAGGAACATCGAACACACCGATAAGAAGTCTGACCTTAGCTAGATTCCTCACGTCTTCGGCCAGGGCGGACTGTTACCAGCCCGTCCCCGCTTGTGTCGTGAATCTGTGGTATCTATTTCCAGTCGGCACCCTCGGGGAGGGTTCAGTGGGGGATTCTTGCCAACCACGAACTATTTAAATAATAGTTATTTATTTACTATCACAACTTTTACTATAAGTAGTTTGAATATTTATGTGCGTTGTGATTGGTAGCGACGGTGTTGTCGACTACCACGGAATTATGTTATTTTAAATAAACACAAGTTGAGTTCCGTTCTTAAAACTGTTTTATTAAAATTACATTTCTCTTATTTATAACCTACTATTACTATCGCGGCTACTGCCATTGACGCTGCTTTTCTAAGTTTCTGCTGACACCTAAGCTTGTGTAAGGCATTGCGTTACATCCGCCGGTCACACGGTCGGTGGCTACTGCAAGGTGTTGAATTGCGGCTGTCGGTCATTCAGAACTCCAAACTGCATAGGTTGCAATTTTGGCAGCTCAAGAGACTGACTTAGTTAACTATTGTTAACTTATATATTACTTATTTATTTATTTTCTATTATTTTTCAAATGAATTTAGTTTACCTAATTTGTTAAGAAGAAAATAAGAAAACTCGAAATATTAAATATCTGAGTATGAAAAGCAATGCGTTCATTCTGGCATACCCTAGGTTTACTTCGCTTCGAAGTCAAATTATGAAATTTTAAGAAAACATTGTGTGTAAATAAGGCATAATTGATAACAATTAAAATCGTTACATTTCTTTATAATCGAATAGACAGAGGAACGATTTTGTATTTTTCATCAATTGATTCTAAAAATGACATCACAGACGGGTTGTTTGTTATCACCGTAAAGGGGCCATGTTTGTTATTATTACCAAAAATTTAGATTAGTGTATTCTGTCGTCGTATACTGATTGCTCCAAATTGGATATCGTTTGAAGTTAAGTTTATTCATATTTTAATTACTGTAATCCGAAATGTGCAAGTGTTTGGCAGGGAACGTAGCATGCTGGTGAGTTCATAAATTATTTCCTAAAATCAAAAAAACAAAAGTGATCAATACTTAGGAAATTTTAAACTTTAAATGCAAATATTTCAAAACCATAATTCAGCGGCAACTATACTTATATATATATATATGTAAATCCCTCGAATTCCGGGTTAAAATGGGTATGTACGGATAGAGGAAGTTCTCCAGATTAAGAATATATACATATATATATATATATACTTTACCGAATGTGAAGATTAAAATAAATAAATAAAATATTAACAAATAAGAGCCGGTTCGATTTTGTAGAACAATTATCACGGACTTTATCCGCCCAAAATAAATCTGCCTGAATTTTAGTTCATCTTTTGGTGAATTGTTTGCAATTTTGAAAATCGTGTCAGTTTAACACGCTGTCTTTTTATAGTAAAAGGATATATTGATAGGATAAATAAACAGATATCGTAAATTATGCAAGAAGAAATTCAACGTTTTTTTTTTGACCAACAACGAACCTGCAAACAAACTAATAAAATTATGTTTGTATTTGTACATGATTTAATATAAAAACATGTTTATATCAACTTTCGACTAATAATTTTTACTTAGTATGTGATGTGTACATAAACTTTGTATGGCTTGTGTTGTATACCTATTCCTAAAAGTGTTACCATGTGCTGTACTTATTTAAGCATTTTAACTTGTACTGTGACTTAATTTCATAAATTCCCTTCCACATGTGGTACTATCTGATGACGCCATTCGTCAGTGGAAAGAAGTTTTCGGGGAAAAAAATCTACACTATGCATATAGGTACATACGTATGTTCATTCACATATTGTACATTGACTTGTACTGTGACCTAATTTCATAAATTTCTTTTCGCCTACGATGACGCCATATCGTCACTGGAAAGAAGCTTTCGTGAAAACAGAACGGCTTTGAAATCACTAAAGTTTCTTAGGATTTCATCAAAGATAGTGACAGAATGCCTTGGTCCCTTAATAGATCTGACATCCTATTCCACGATATACCTGTAATGGTTTCAGGACATAGTGATATTTCTGGTAACTATGAAGCAAATGACCTAGCCAGAGCCGTCTAATTGGCATACATGTCAGCACCATATAATGACTGTCAAGAATTAGAAGAAGAAGAGACTATAGAACATGTTATATGCGCAAAGATTTATATAAGAATATAATGTTATTGTTGGGGTCTATTTTGGATAAGTAGGAGTTTAACCTGCTACAGTATCCGGAACGAAGTTGCGCTGTCGTCAGACTTTCACTCCGCCTACTTACCTATATACATATACATATGTATGTGTTTTGATATTTTATAAGATTCAAACGAATGTATATATTACATATGTAAGCCTATATGTTCAATTTTAGAAGTTATCATAAGCAGCATCCCAATGTAATATTTGCAGACAATCCAACGTATCTTATCGCTCTTTGGTGTTGATGTCGCAATTGTAACAATAGCCTTTGCTCGGGAGGCGGAGTAAGTTATATTACAGGCGCCAGTAGCAAACCTTCGCCGGCAGAGGCATAACAGCGTTGGGTGTAGAGTGGGTTAGATTTAGTATTTGGATATTTAGAATATTCAGTTAGGATATAACTCACAAAATATAAGCAGTATGACTTAAATAAAAATATGTAAAACAAATAATAGACCCCAACGTCGTACTCAACAAACCAAAAATCTAGTTAAGGGTGTTTTACTCTCAAGCAACATATGATTTGGTGACTAAAGTGCTTGTTCCATATAATAAAAATTATTAAATTAAATAAAGTTATTTTTAACTTACAATTTATTGCGATTAATACACAACAACAGCCGGTTCTACGTTGCCGGAAGTTATACAGCCAAGGGCTGTTATTTCGATGATCTTATTTACTATGTTATCACTAGAGCACCCCGTAGCAGCTGAGCTGCACTATGTATATCCTCCTGATCCTCCTGATTCGTGCTGACATTAAGTCAAATCTGGAGAAATTTTTCTGCAGGATTTGCGCCAAAAGGCTTGGTCCAAGCTCCACTTCTGTAAGGTTTAACATATGCAGTGGATGTTATGTGGCCCCATCGGAAGAGTGGTCTCACTACTGAAATCTGGGTAACCCGCCAACCTCGGGGAGTCTTATCTCCCGATAATTCTCCTTTTCTCTGTAATGAATACACTTGGGTTCGACCTTCACACATCATCTGAACCTAGCTAGTCACCAACATGGTTTCCGTAAAATCAACAGTATCATGGCCTAAACTAAACTCTTTGAGAGAACCAATCAAGTAGTATTAAACTTTTAAAAAGTTTTTGCCGCTGTAAATTACAAAGCTACTCTAAGGTATTCTTCAGCGGGATTACCTTCCCTCTGCCAAACTGTCATTTAAAGCAGAGTATGTTGGGCTGTCTGTTTAATTACTATATGCAGCGGTGTAAGTTCCAGCACCACTTCCAGGGCGGCTGTCGAGCACGTACGAATTGCGCCCGACCCGTAGATGCAGGCAAGTCGTTGCAGCTTCGATAGTTGAATCCTACCGAAAACTGCGATGCTTTAGAAACCCAAGCCACCGCCCCATATGTAATAATCGGTCTCACGATCATGGTGCCTTGACTAAGGTCAGGTCCACATGCTGCTTCCACCGTAGAGTGGAATCCGGCATGAAGCCTAGATATTTCACCGTGTTAGCGATCTCCGACTCTCTGCCGTCAAGGGAGAGATTTCTGAGATCTGTCAGTGACCTTCGTCTCGTAAACGGAATGATTGTAGTTTTAGAGGGGATGATGTTTAAGCCAACCCCACTACACCACTCCTTTGCCAGACCCAATCCCCTTTGTACGACATCGCAGAGAGTGTCTACGAATTTACCCCTGGCTAAGATAACAATGTCATCCGCATATCCCTAACAGCGGATTCCATTGTTTGTTAGCAGCTCAAGTAGATCGTCCACAACTAGGCTCAATAGTAGGGGGGATAGCACTCCACCCTGTGGGCAACATCTTGTTGTGTCGAGACGAATTCGGGTATCACCTACTGTGGTTTCAGCTACCTTGGAGCGCAGTACGGCTTCTATCCATCTGCGTATCGGTGCTATCACACTCTTTTTCTGCTCTGTAAGAATGCTGCTTTGCATGTAGCGGTGGAGCCTTAAGCACCTTCGATCGTATTTCGTAATCAATGATCTTTTTCATACTCTTCAGTAAAAAGGAAGTTAGACTAAGCCTAAAATATTTCGCCAAAGAATAGTCTTTCCTTCCTACTTTGAGTGTAAAGATCACCTTTGCAGTGCGCCATTGTTCTGGGATATATGCCAGCGCTGACTACCGAGCTGAACCTGCAGAGGTTGAGCCTCCGTCAGGAATCCTTGACCTTGCTGTTTACCTGCTGCAGCATGCCTCCTTCAAAGTATACGCCATGGAAGGAAGCTGCATATCCAGATCCTCTGAATACATCCTCCATGAGCAGATCCTGGAGCACGGTAAGCTCTTTAGACCAAAGCGTCTCCGCCTATCTGCGCTGCCTCTCCACTGGGAGGATTTGGGGCTGAGTTGTTGTTGTTGTTGTAACGGTTACTTAGTCCCCGTTTGGGTGATAAATTCCAGATTCGTTGTCGTCGAGGTCATCTAACGGGAGGCCCCCGAGCTGTTTCGACGGGGTCGGACCATAGGGAGAAGGGTGTTAGATGAGCGGGGTTTGTTGGGCATGCAAAGAGGTGGTTAGTGTCATGCGGAGACTCATTGCACGCAGGACATGTGTTTGGTATGTCGGGGTCTATTCTGAATAAGTAGGAGTCTAACCTGCTACAATATCCAGAACGAAGTTGCGCGAGGGTCACTCTGGTTTCGCGAGGCAACTCGAGCTCTACGTCTGCTATGGGTTGTGGTTTGACTCGTTATACGGCATTCACTAAGAGGGAATCGGTGAAGGTCAGTGCCTGTCTGAAGTTCGTTGCGTCCGAAGTCCGGTCGGCGTACTGTCTAATGTCGTCGACGTAATCAAAGAAAGACCTCTTGATGTTCCTAAACGAAAACATCCCAGCAGAAACTGCTTGGAGAAGAGCTCGTTATGGTGTAGAAGTTAAATAGTAAAGAGGAGAGGACACCAGCCTGCGGAACCCCCTGTTTAATTCTTCTCAGTTTGGAGTTAGGAGGAGTTTGGAGGTAGTTCATGGTCCACCGCTTCAGCCCTGGAGGGAGCGTAGATTATTCGATGTCCTTAAGTAGCGTTGTGTGGTTGACTGTGTCGAAGGCTTTCGACAAGTCCAACGCTACGAGGATCGTCCTCTCGCAGGGTTGCTTCTGGTTTAGACCACCAACTATACGGGCGTTTAAGACGCTAAGTGCTGTGGTGGTGCTGTGCACTTTCCGGAAGCCATGCTGATGTTCTGCTAGGCTAAGGTGGTGAGTGAACATCGGGAGCAACAAAACCTCAAGTGTCTTCACTACTAGGGAAAGGAGAGTTATCGGGCGATAAGACTCCCCTTTGTTGCTTCCGTCAGGGCCAATGGATTTGGACGATTTGGCCTTTTTGAAGGCACTCTGAACCTCCTCATCGGTGAAAGTAAGTGGTGCGCAGTCTTTTGGGATTTCGCGCAGCCGTCGGGTAACACATCGTTTGGCCTTGTCAGTCGAAGAGTGCAGTGTAAACTGCCGGCTAAAATAGCTCGCGCACTTCTTCGGGTCCGAGGAGGCATGGCCATCGAATTGAATTTCAATCCGATCATCATGTCTCCTTCGATTTGACAGGGCCTTGACAGTAGTCCAAAGCTTACTTACACCGGTGGAGAGGTTGCAGGACTTCAGGTGCTCTATCCATTTTGTCCGCTTATGATGGTTTACCAATTGCCGAATCTCCAAATTGAGATCCCTTATTCGGGGATCACAGGGATCGGCATGGCGTAAGGGGTCGCGCTCGTTTGCTAGTACAGCTGCATCGGCTGGGAAATTAGGGCGCAGTTCCGCGATTCTTCCAGCCGGTATGAAGCGAGCAGTAGCAGCAGCGATCACCTTACGGAATTGACGCTCGCCAACGAC